GCAAAGGTAAACTACATGCGAAGAGTTTTCAGTGAGGTGGTCACCTGTGATGCAGGATGCCAGGGCAGCGGAAAGCAGAGGATGAAACATGAAGGTCAGCAGTGTTGGACGGGCGCCCGCCAAACAGGAAGGCCATCTGTGTTGAGTTGGTGCGGTCTTCAAGAATTCAAACGCGTGAGAACGGCGAAGTTGAGTATCCAACGTTCGGGAAGCGCTCGTGGGATGAAGGCGGTGTCGCGAACATTTTCCATACAAGGAGGGGGGGGCATCTAACATTCAGCATGTTCTCAACAGGCAGCCGACGTGGCGGCGCTACCATGCTTAGGTGTGTTCGACTGTTCCAGGAGCAGTGCGTTCGCAGTCAGCGAGGCGGAAGAGGAGGCTATGCGGAAAGCGGGATCCAGAGTGGAGCAGAGCGGAGAAGCATCGCGAGCTGAGTGGAGAAGGCGCCGTGGCTGAGTCATGCCCTGTCTAGAGCGTTGGGTTGCGCAGCGCTCATCTTCTAAGTGCAGCCGCCGCGTTTGTGCTGCAGCAGTGGCCTACGGATGCGCCTACCTGCTGGGCGGGCGCCCTGGGGCTGCGCTGCCTTTCGACAGCGCGTGGCGTGAGCTCAGCGCGCGCCAGTCGGAGTTGTTGGTTTAAGCTGAGGGCTGCCAGAGTCCATACGTAACTTTCGTTACTACAGAAGCATTGATGTCAGTAGGACTAGGCAGGTGGTGGGTGTGTGTATTGTGTTTGGCTCCCCTGATGACGCCCTGTGCTTGCCCGTCAACGGCTGGCTCGGGCCTGCAGCTCCACGGAAGCGCACATCAATTTCGCGCAACAGGATTCGCGGGCCCCTTGTGATTGCCGGCCGATCCAACGTTGGCCCTGGTTATCATCCGCGGGTTGTGTGAGGTACTGTTTGCTGGCGCTGGTTGTGTGAGGCACTGGCACTGGTACTGGTTGCTGGTACTGTTGGCTGGCACTGGTCAACGGCGGAAGCTCCCGGCTGTCGCGGTGGCCACGATTGACCGACGCGCCGTTCCGATGGATCTGGATCGAGGAGGTGGGCGATCGCGATCATAATTTGGCGCGGCAGCTTAGCGCCCTCAGCGCGCGCGGTCGCCGTTGCTGCTGAAGGCGCCGAGAATTGGAGTCGGCGTTGTTGTCGACTTGGGCGGCAGTGGCGGCCGCGTGCTCTAGGGGGGCGAGTTGCGCGGCCTCGCCGTGGCTGATAAGGCCAGCGCGTGCGCGGTCATTAGTCGCGTCGGACAGGAGCGAGAACTGGCTCGAGCCTGTCGGTTAGTGCACGACGTGGAGGAACATGTGTAGGCAGTGGCGCAGCGCCATTTGCGCCTTCTGCGGTGCTCGGCGTGGCTCTCTTAGCTGCTCCGCGGAAGAGGGCGGGTCTTTGTGGATGGGCGCCGTCTGCCGCGGCCCGCAGTGGTGGCCGCTGAGCTCCGTCCGCGCGGGAGATTAAGGTGTGCGGGCGCGGGCCCTGCAACCGCGGCCGCGCGGGGCCGACCTTCGGCCCCCGCGCGCGTGGGCAGGGCCGGGGCGCTGCGCGCGAGTTGCGCGGATCTCTGGATTTGATTTGATACCTGCCGTGGGCGAGGCGACGGCGCGCGTCGAGAGACGGAAAGCGGAATTCCGGCGCGGAAGTGGCGCAGAGTAGTCGCGCCGGTCTGCGCGGAGCTTTGGGGGGGAGGCGGGGAGATCGCGCGCTAGGCGTGCGAGGTGTAGAAGTCTTGATGCATTTGAGAAGTATTTGTGCGCGGGGCCGCGCGGGTATCGAGTTGCGTTGGCCGCGCGCGACCCGCCGGCAGAGGTCGGCGGAGGGCGAAGGGAGGTCGGCGGAAGTAGAGCGCGCGGCAGGGGGGAGCATCTGGAAATGTGCATCACATGATTGCACCGTGGTGTTCGTTCCGGCGTGCGCGGAGCCGTCGCGAAGCGGTTTCGACTTGCGCGGGCCGCGTGCCGCGCGCGCGGGCGTCGGCGGGGGGCGGGGGGGGGTCGGCAGAAGTTAGGCGCGCAGTCGGGGCGCCGTGTGAGGTTTGGTTCAATCGTGGATGCTCTCTCCGACGCACGCGGGGCCAGCGCGTGGACGCGCGGGCTGGGGGTCGCGTCGGCCGCGCGCGACCCGCGGGCGGATGTCGGCGGAGAGGGGAGGGAAACAGAGTCGGCGGAGGTACAGCGCTGAATGCGGGGAGTAGCCGGCAACGTGTGCCATTTGATCGGGCCGTGGCAGAGCCGCGCGGGCATGGGATTGTTCCGGGCGCGCGAGGCCCGTTAGCGGAGTCGGCGGAGGCCGAAGGAAAAGTCGGTGCAAATAAGTCACGCGGTAGGCAACATAAGCCAGCCATGTGTATCAGGTCACGGGGCCGTTGTGTGCGTTCTGGCAAACCTTCCCGTGCAGCTTGGGCAGGTGTGGCTTGTTATCCGCTGCCTGCTGTCTCGAGCGCTGTCGCTGCTGGTATTGCGGCGGCGCGCTGTGGCATGGGGTCGCATTCTTGCGGGG